TAGGACTGAGGTTGCTGTCAGCTAGGGGCTACTCTCAGCTTTTAGAGGTCACCCACATCCTTTGCTCCTTGGCCCCCTCCATCTTTAAAACCAACAAAGGAGCATTTCTGTCTCATCTAATTCCTCTCATGCTTCTAATCTCCTGCTTCAGGAAAAGCCCAGTCCCTCATCTGACTGGGTCAGGCTCACCCCAGATGATCTCCCCTTCTTAAAGTCACCTGTGCCATAACATCACCTAATCATGGGAGTGAGTGTCCAGTCCCCAAGTCTGGAGGCATATACAGGAAGAGTATCCCTGGGAGAGGAGGGCAGGAATCTTGTGAGCATTTTAGAATTCGGCCTTTCTATGCCTAGTAGATGCTTCATGGATAACACCTTTAGTACTCCCTGCTAACCTGGAAGATCTCTGAAGGCATGGGGGCAGCCTATTCACCAACCTGTTTGGAATATTTCCATATTTTAACAACCAGTACAACCATCTAGATTTACATATAACAGTATACAAATATCTCAGTATGAGATCTGAGTATATCCTCTCCATCTGAGTATATCCTCTTCTTCCAACCTCAGTCCACATCCCAAATCTTAGAGAATGAAGACTTTGACCCAGCACATTTAAGAAAGAAAAGAGGAGAGCGTTAAGGATGTCTGCCATTTCAATTTTTACAGTAGGGAAACTGAATCTGAGACAAGACTCCCAGCCCAGTGCTCTCTTCAGAAAACCCTGCTGACCCCCCAAGTGCAGTTCCTATCAAGCTTCTGTGTCCATGACTCTTGACTTTCTAGAGCATCTCCATGACATAGAGTTTTCTTCATTGGGGAGAGGGGTTAGACTTCTTAATAGGGAAATCCATTCATTAATGGATGCCATATTCATTAATGTATCATTTAAAACTCAGCTTCCTCTGATTTTGCCTCTTTTGATTCTTTCTCCACTTATGTTTTTATATCAAAGAGATTAAACCACTTTGTTGATCTTTAAGCTCCATCTTTCCCAAGAGCTTTAATCGTGTCTCGCCACAGCCTCCCATTAAAATGAAAGATAAAGAGTGGTTACAGGCTTGGTGAGGTTTAACAGGGTTAGCTCAAGTCAGTGCCTTTCTCTGGTCCTGCCGAGAGCAGCCGTGATCCTTGGCTTGGCTCCCTGCCTTTCTCACCACAGGCAGATCTGCACAGAACCCTGGGTTCAAAGGGTCAGTGATACAATATAAACTACACAAGGGCTGTATATATATATGCATTTATCTTATTCACTGCTTTATGTCCAGCTCTTGGCACAGGAGTTAGACTATAGTAGTCTCTCAACAAATGCTTGCTGAAAAGACGCATCAATTAATAGAATGGATCTTGAAAATCTCACTAAATAAGCTCCATTGTCCCTGAATGTTCTTTTGACTTGATGGGCCCCCAGCACTGGAGGCTAGGAATTCTAGGATGTGTATTTTGCTTGCTCTTTGAAGAAATCTGAGTAGTAGAAGCACCAAGCTTTTCAGTTCCAACCCTGCCTTGCAAAAGGGACGCTGGGGGGCGGTGGGGGGGGGGACTTTTCATACTTGACTTAGATGCTTAGGCCTCTTTCTTCATCTTTAAAATGGGGTTAATGGGATATTGCATTAAATTTCAGTTCAAGGAGAGTTGATGAATATGTATATTTATATTTATACTTATATTTATGTTTGTATTCAGACATCCCCATAATGGTCGGCAGGGCGGGATGAGCAGAAAATATTACCGAGGTTTATAGCAATAAACTGAGACAAAGACAGCTCGGACTGTTTCTTTGGCTCACAGAGCAAGTTTGCTGGGAGCTGAGCTAGAATCCAGATCTCACCTGAGCTGAGCGAGGACCTGCTTCTTCAGATGATTCCAGGATCTTGGAAAAATGTATGCCAATATCAAATCGGAAGCAAACCTCCTTTTCCTTTCGGCTGAATACAAAAAGTTTCCCGATCCAGACTGAGGTGTCCTAGAAAACCTTTATCTGTTTCCAGGACAGCATAAGGCCTTCTCCTACAAGAACATATGAAAGTGTGTTTAAAAATAAAGAAGGAAACAGTGCAGAAAATCAGCAAAATGCAGTTTTCCTGAAAGAGCAGGGGGCAGGAGGACGTACTTTCCCAGGTACCCTGGCCAAGAAACTTAACTCTTGTGGACAGTGCACCTGCCCTGCCTAACATCAGGTGTTCAGAGAGTCCATAGCGGCATTCCTCTGAGACCCTATCTGGGTTCCAACAGCTGAGGTCCCCAGGGGCACACAGGGCCTTGGGATTCAAAGCATTTCTCACTGTTTCTGGGCATCTCCCATCAAGTTTTCAGTAAAAAGTCTCCCACCTATGGGCACAGCAAAATCATGCTTGGGATCCTGCAAAGCAGCACCAAGCGCTTCCCTCATTTATCTTTGTAACTGTCATGGCAGGGAGCAGGGAGCAGGTGGCCCTGTGCAGAGCGGGAAATGGGCATCGGATGTCTGAGACAATCAGCCCTTCCTGTGACCCTTCAATGTAATATTTTAAAGATTACCTTAAAATTGACGCAACCACCCAGGCAGCAGAGAAAAAGGTCTGCTAGCATCATCTGACTTTCCATGGTGGGTGGAAGTTTCCTTGTATAGTCAAGGAGGCAGTTGGCTCAATGGTTTATAGAACATTCATCCAGGTTGTTCTATTAGGGACACAGTTTCTGGGGAAGGCGAGAATCTGGGAAATCATGAAAAGCTTGCTTATAATGATGAAGAAAAGCTGAATGATAGCATCCCCAGAGGTGACTTCTCCCAGGATCAGAAGCTCGTAGAACTTTCTGGAGGGAGCAGCTCATCAGTCTAAGCATGAGTCGTAGAACTTCCACTTCTGCAGGCCATTGTATGGTCGGTGCTGTGAGCCCTCAGGCTGGAGCCAGATAAACTGAGATCCACACGTAACTCAGCCACTTATTTGAGCTTCATTTTTCTGATCTGAAGATTGGAGGGATAATAACAGTATGTGTTTATAGCTTTGTTGTGAGAATTATAAATGAGCTAATGGATATAAATTTCCTAGCACAGTGCCTGGCTCATGAATGATCAGAAATTTAGGGTGCTGTTATTAGCTGCAGAGATGCTCATGGTCTTTTCTAGCCTCTTTAGTATCTCAAAGCATTTTAAATGGATATGAGCAGAATATCAGAAAAACAGACTGAGTACTACAGGCTTCTGGGTATTTCTTTAAAGTGCGGCATTTACTCCAAAAACATTTTACAGCCGTTTTAAATTTTATTTTTTTATTGAGATATAATTGACATATAATGTTGCATTAGTTTTAGGTATACAACATAATGATTGGATATATGTATATACTACAAAATGGTCACCATAATAAGTTTAGTTAACATCCATCACCACACAGAGCTACAGTATTTTTTCTTGTGATGAGAACTTTTAAGAGCTACTCTCTAAGCAACTTTCAAGTTAGCTATAGTCATAATGCTGTACATTACACCCCCAGGATTTATCTTATAACTGGAAGTTTGTACCTTTTGACCCCTTTACCCATTTCACTCATCCCTTCACCCCTGGCCCACCCCTGGCAACCACCAATCTCTTCTCTATATCTGTGAACTTGGTTTTATTTTTAGATTCCATGTATAAGTTTACAGCCTTTTAAAAATCTTGGAGCATTAATATCATGCCCACCTCAATTTTTTAGATGGCGTGGAATTACTGAAACAAAATTTTTAATGGTGGGTCTACACAGCAATTTGTCATATTAGTGCTCAAACAACGACAGACTCCCCAACTTAGACAGTAAGAGTGACCACATGGTGAATCAGATACACGTTGCCTTTTCCTTTCTGTCGGCTGCTGAGATCTGATAAAAAGGTCATATAAAGGAAAGGGCACCGGCTTTGGGCTCAACAAGCAATAATCCAAATGTCAGCTCTGCCACTTACTTGTTTGGTAGCCCAGGTGTCACTTAACCTCTTTGGTGTTTTCATATTTATTTATCCATTTATTCAGTACGTATTTTTTGAGTACATAGAATGTGCCAGGCTATGATCTGGGTACTGGGAATATATTAGGGAGCAAAACAAATTAAAAAGTATGCCCTTTTGGCACTTACATTTTAATATAGGGAAAGAAATTATTAGAAATTAGCATGATGAGGGCCGGCCGAGTGGCACATTGGTGAAGAGCTGGCTTGGGACGCCAGAGGGCCCCGGTTCGGATCCCACATATGAGGGCCAGTGACACTGCCCTCTACAGCTAAGATGCTGAACAACAGCTCAACCTGGAGCTGGGCTGCCATGCGGTGAGTCGCCGGCGACGGCGTAGTCTGCAGCCCCTGCTGCAGTGGGTTGCCATGGGCTACCGTGTGTAGCCAGCAGCCAGCGTGAGTGGCCGTCCAGAAGCCGGTGACTGATCTGCCTCACCCGGGAAGACCATAATGATAGTGCCAACTTGAGCCAGTGAAGCAACATCCTTCACAACTAGACTGAAGAACTAAAGGATTGCAACTTGTCTGTTCCCCTTCCCCCAGTTCCCCAATAAAGTAAAAAAAAAAAAAGAAATTAGCGTGATACATAAGCAAACAATATAGTATTTATATGATGGAGATTACAAGATCTAACTCTGATGGGTTGTTGTGGTAGATACAAGTGACAGTCCATGTATAATACGTGGCCTATAATAGGCATTTAGTAAACTGTTGCAATTGTTATTTTTAAAATTGCTTTCAGATTTCTTGAAATCCTTTAACACTTAATGTATGTTTTGCACTTACTGTTCATTTATTCATTCAACAACTATTGAGCTTTTTTTATATGCTAGACCCTATACTAGTCACCAGGGATACAAGCCAATAATAGTAGAAAACATAGTCCCTGCCCTTGAGAACGCTACAACCTGGTCTACTGTACATTAGACGTGTGGCCTTTGAGAGCACAAAGGTGGGAGTGACCTTGAAGTCTTGTGTTTCTGGGAATCAGAGCAGTCCACTTCACTGATGATGTCTTTTTTATTAACTCAGCATATCTCAGCTATGGCTGGCGATTCTAGGAATGCTATGAACCAGGATATGGAGATAGGAGTCACTCCCAGGGACCCTAAGAAGATTCCCAAAAAGGCTCGAGATTACATCCCCGTCGCCACAGACCGCACCCGCCTGCTGGCGGAAGCCAAGAAGCCCCGCCAGCGCTACATGGAGAAGAGCGGTAAGTGCAATGTCCACCATGGCAACGTCCAAGAAACCTACCGATACCTGAGCGACCTCTTCACCACGCTGGTGGACCTCAAGTGGCGCTTCAACCTGCTGGTCTTCACCATGGTCTACACCATCACCTGGCTGTTCTTTGGTTTCATCTGGTGGCTCATTGCTTACATTCGGGGTGATCTAGACCATGTTGGCGATCAGGAGTGGATTCCTTGTGTTGAAAACCTCAGTGGCTTCGTGTCTGCCTTCTTGTTCTCCATTGAGACTGAAACCACCATCGGATACGGCTTTCGGGTGATCACAGAGAAGTGTCCAGAGGGGATTATACTCCTCTTGGTCCAAGCCATCCTCGGCTCCATTGTCAATGCCTTCATGGTGGGGTGCATGTTTGTCAAGATCAGTCAGCCCAAGAAGAGAGCGGAGACGCTCATGTTTTCCAACAACGCGGTCATCTCAATGCGGGACGAGAAGCTCTGCCTCATGTTCCGGGTGGGTGACCTTCGCAACTCCCATATCGTGGAGGCCTCCATCCGCGCCAAGCTCATCAAGTCCCGGCAGACCAAAGAAGGGGAATTCATCCCCCTGAACCAGACTGACATTAATGTGGGCTTTGACACGGGGGATGACCGGCTCTTCCTGGTGTCACCGCTCATCATCTCCCACGAGATCAATGAGAAGAGCCCTTTCTGGGAGATGTCCCGGGCCCAGCTGGATCAGGAGGAGTTCGAAATCGTGGTGATTCTAGAAGGGATGGTGGAGGCAACAGGTAAGACACTTCATTGACCCTTACCACACTCAGGAGCTTAGGCCACCGGGATTCCAGGAGACGGAAGTTCATGCCTGAGAATCCTGAGGTGGCACAGTCAACCAGCCCGATCCCTAAGGTGTGATCTAAGGAGTATTGCTACTCAAGATGGACTAATAACAGCAGGTAACAATGTTCATTGAACCTTCCCAACTTCCAGGTATAGTTCTAAACCTTAAACATATATCTCATTTAATGCCCTCTGAGATAGTGTTCCTTACGTCGCAGATTAAGAAACAGAGACACAGACAGGCAAATTATTTGTCCAAGAGATGTGCTACGAAGTTGTAGAGCCAAGGTGCCCACTGAAGCAGGGGGACCCAAAAGCCAGCTCTCAATTTCCAACAGGTTACTTCGCCTGCCCCTTCCCATCCTGGAGCAGTTAGGTGTCTACTCAAAAGGAGTTGTGCGATCAAGTAACTTTGGGAAACACAGGGCTAATCAAAGGCGACCTAGATTTTTTTTTTATTGTTATTAGTTTCAGGTGTACAAAACAATATAATAGTTAGACATTTCACTCCTCACAAAGTGATAATCCCCCTCCCCCAATCTATCGCTCCCCCTGACATTGTATATATCTATTACAATTCCATTGACTCTATTCCCTATTCCATTGTCATCCATATCCCATGACTCTCTCTCTCTCTCTCTCTCTCTCTCTCTCTCTCTCTATATATATATATATATATATATATATATATATATATATATATATATATATAAAATTATAGCTCACATACAATATTATTCAGCTTCAGCTTCAGGTGTACACTGCAGTGGTTAGGCATATACACCGTCCATGAAGTGGTCTCCCCAATAAGACAAATGTCCATCAGATACCCTACAAAATCTTTACAACATTATTGATTATATTCCCCAAACTGTCTTTCATATCCCCGTGGCAATATTGTAGTTACCAATTTGTGCTGTCTAATCCCCTCACCTTCTCCCTCATCCTCACCCCTCTCCCTTCTAGCAACCATTGGTTTTTCCTCTATATTTCTCAGACTATTTCAGTTTACTTTGCTCATGTATTCAGTTCTTTAGATTCCACATATAAGTGAGACCATATGGTATTTGTCTTTCTCTGACTGACTGGTTTCTTAATGCTAGGACTTTACGTGTGAATTGCTTCATGAGGAGCAGAGTGTGAGCAGCATTTCCCAAACTCAAGGATTTCCAGAGTCACCGAAACTTCTTTTTGAAGAGACACCTATGCCCTAGACCCGTGGGAGGGGCTCTTCTCACTGCCACCCCCCCCCAGAACAGCCTGCCCCCAGCTTCCCTGTGGAAGGCTGGTTCAGTGAACACTGGGCATTCAGAAAAAAGTGCATCCAAGTCCAATTATGCCCAGGCCGTGCCCTCTTCATGGCCAGACTGGCACCTCCCTGCTCAGCTACGAACTCTCACAGGCAGCTGTCAATCAGGACCTTCCACCATTCCTCAACCACGGCAGGGCTCTGTGTGGGGCTCCAAAGAGCCCCAGGCCTGAGGAACTCAAGTGTCCACCTCCACTACTGGCTGGACCCCTGGAGAGAAGAGCCCTCAATAAACCCTGCACCCTGCTTCCTATTCCCTTCCTCTTGCTCTATTTCTCATTTTTTCACTGAGCAGGCTGAGCACTTGTAGCAAACTCGCTCAGACTTGGAATGATATGTATTTTTTAAATTCTTGCAACAATACCTCAGGGCTGGCTTCAATCTTATTTTACAGATGTGGAAGCTGCATGAGGCAGGAAGTGGTCATACCCAAGGCTGCCACTTACAAACTAGAGCTTTGTCTACCACACCACACTGCCCCCTAAATATTAGGGGCCTGTCACAAAGGTGTCCAAACAAGCCTTCTTCGCCTTTCAGAAGCTGGTTGCTGGGTGGGAGAGTTAGACAAAGGCAACCACAGACCTTCCCACGCAGAGCCAGTAGGACCTGGTGGGGGTGCGAATGGGCTCCAGGAGCTGGTACATCTGGGCTGTTTGGCCATCTGCTGGGCCAGAGCCTGTCCAGGCAGCATATGGTGGCAGTTGTGGGAGTCCCTGGGGCCAAGGACAGTCAGGATGCTGGAAGCTTCTTCCAGCGGGGCTGGGCACTCACAGGTCTCACTGCCCTTGGTGCTGGGCTCAGGGTCAGACCACAGGCTGCGTATCTGGGGAGGAGCTCAACTCCAAGGCCAAAAAAGGAGGGGTCAGGTCAGACACATGGGGACAAATAGGAAAGCCGTGCATGACCACTCCCCCGGCTATCGCCACTGCTACCTGAAGCAGAGGGAGTGAGTGCTGAGCCTTTCCAGCTGGCTTTCTTCATCTGATTGCCTTCAAAATCAGTGGCCTGCAGTTGACTTTCCCCATCTGGTTGACCTCCCCTCCCATGACCTGGGTTACCCTTGTTCCTGTCCTTGGGGCTGCAGGGAGACCAAGGAGATAAAGGAAGGAGACCACCCACCCACATCTGTTGTGATCTCAACAAATTTAATGTTTGATTGTTACATTACGGAGGCCAGCATCTGCTGTGATTTCAGGCCGAGGTCTGACTGCACAGCTCTGCCATAACCTGCCTATGTGAGTTGGGGCAAGTTGCTTAACTTGTCAGGAAAAATGAGGATAACCTCAGAGGATTGTTGGGGGGAATTGAATGATTAAATGGAGTAACGTATCTCAAGCACAGTGCCTGGCACCTAGAGGGGCTTCTGTCTGTTCCAAATGAATTGGAAGATGACTGCAAGGAGCACAGGTGGGGTTTCTAGCTGCAGGTTTGCCCACTGCCACCTCCCAGGAGCTGGGACAGAAAAAGAGCAGGAAGAGGCCCAGAGGCTTGGTGAAAGGCTCCTTCAGAGGTGCCGTCCGGCTCTTTTGTGAAGCCCTGAAAGTGTAGACGCCTGACATTCCTGCATCGAGGCTGGTCAGCGCCCAGCTTGAGCCCCCACAACTCTGCTGAGCCTGGGGTTTGGGCAACGAGGGGCAAGGACTGAATGGTGAGGCCTGACCCAGACAGCCCCGCACCCCCACGCCCAGAGCCCACAGTGTGTGGGGTGCACTGGGGTTGCCCAGCCCAGAGCACAGATGGGTGGGAAGCAGCCTTTGACCTGGACTGGTTCGTGTGAGACCCTCAGCAGAGAAACGCAGGAGCTTGGGAACTGAAGGAGTTTCTCTTTCAGTTCCCAAGGAGCACTGGCTCATACCTTCCCTGGCCAGAAGATTAAATATCAGAAAGCTGCTTTCCTGTGACCCTAAGCACAGAGGCTTCCTCCCCCATAAACAAAGCTGAGCTGCCCTCCCTCTCTGGAGAGAAAGCAACACCTAAAAATAACACATGCATGCCAGGGCTGAGTGGACAGGGAATGGAGGCATTGGAGCATGCTCAAATCAAGGAGCCAAGCTCTGTGTGTGTGTGTGTGTGTGTGTGTGTGTGTGTGTG